AAAAGTTGCATCGTAGTCAGAATTGTGAGATATAAAGTCAGAATTGCGTGAAATAAAGTCGCAATTGCGTGTTATAAAGTCACGCATGTAAACTCGCAATTGTGAGAAAAAGTCTCAATTCTGTTTATATCTTGCAATTACGACTTTCTCAGAATTGCGACTTAATGTCTCGCAATTGTGACTTTATTTCTCAGAATTGCGACTTTACAGTATGTCTCGCAATTGTGAGATAAAAAGTCACATCATATTTCTTTTCAGTGGCGGAAACAAGCTTCCATAAAAATGAGTGGTTGACACATTTGATCTTTATGTATTTTTTTTTTTAGGTGACACTGCCTCGTTCCTATGTGAAAACCCCGCTAGATTACCCATTCTTGAATTTCAGATCAGTTGAGATGGAAAGGTGGAGAACACAAACGTCAGGTCTTGAAATGAAAGTATCCTCGAGTGATTGTTAGCTGGCATGTTCCCGTCTCACCAGGAAACGGTGTATCCTCCTAATCCGCATGTCTGTTGAGTTAAAGTTGTAGGGTGGGGTGTGGGTGAACAGGATAGTCTCTATTTTCTCAACTTAGTTGTTCCTTACTATCATTATCATGAGTCCTGTCTCATGAGAAGACAATGTGTCTGTCTCTCTTTAAACAACGACTGAGAGACCGATCCGTAACTTAAGCCGTCTCCATAACGCTGCTCTTCAAAGAGTTTGTGGAAAGAGCTTCTTTTTTTTTTTTTTTTTTTTTTTTTGCAGTGACCTCCAGTAAAACATGGAGTTCATAAAAGAAATCAAGTCTTTTTGTCAGCAGGGAAAGGCAGGAAAGACCTGTCGTAATGCAGAATGTCTTAACAGGAGACGAGCTTGCGTTTGAGGTATGCATGCTTCATCTTGTGGGGAAATATATTCTCAGCTGCCTCTGAATAGCAGGTTGTGTTTCGCAGAATCATAATGAAAGGCATTATAGTCTGGTTTCTGCAGGCCTGTTTGTTGTGTTGTTTCACTCAGGTATGACTGACAAAGATATGTGCGTGCAAGGGATGGGGGATGAACATCTCAATGTTTAAAAAGATGATTTTTCAGCTTTTTAACTACAGGTGAAACTCGAAAAATTTGAATATCGTGCAAAATTTCATTTATTTCTGTAATTCAACTGAAATGTTGAAACTAATATATTATATAGACTCATTACATGCAAAGTGAGATATTTCAAGCCTTTATTTCTTATAATTTTGATGATTATGGCTTACAGAAAAGCTTTTCACAATATTTTAATTTTGAATTTGGGGTTTTCATAAGCTACAAGTCATAATTATCAAAATTATAACTAATAAAGGCTGAAAATATCTCACTTTGCATGTAATGAGTCTATATAATATATTAGTTTCACCTTTCAAGTTGAATTACTGAAATGAATCAACTTTTGCACGATATTCTGGTTTTTCAAGTTTCACCTGTGTGTATGATTTCTTTCAAAAACATAATCTTACCGACCCCAAACTTTTGAACAGTGTATAGTAATTTTCATTTTTAGTTTAATGAACATTTTTAAGCAATTTATGCCAGTTTTATTTTGTACAAAATTGTTCATTTAAACAGATCTCAGATCTCTCTCTCACCCTGCCTGTTCTATGAGGATTTTTAGTCTTCACAATGATTAATATTGCTCAAAGTGAGTTTCCCAGGCAGCTGAATTTTTTTTCCCTTCACCTGTTTTGTTCATCTGGTGGTAATTTCCATAAATGTCAGTGTTGAGACTTGAGAGAGGCCATTCAGAATGACGTGACTTTTGTGAAAAGCTCATCTCGGTCAGTCTGTCTCTCTCTCTCCAGTTTCATTATCTCTGTGAGTGTCTTAAGTCAGCTTTTTCCATATGATCAGTAATTTGAGAGCGTGTCAATGCCTGCAGCTAAATGAAAGTATATTCAGTCCTGTTATATTAAACATTAGGTTCTATTTAATGACTGAAACATTATTGAAGCATTGCAAATGCTTGGCCAGCAATATCTATTTCAGAATATAGCCTAGTGTGTGCATAATTATTAGACGGTTTGTGTGTTTCGTAGGGGTGTATCGATACCCTCATGTCGCGATTCGATACGTATCACGATACTGAACTCACAATATGATATTATTGCGATACTGTAAAAAATAAAACCGTAATTTTTACGGTAAAAAAACGTTACCATCAAAAATACAGTAGCAATGTTATTGGTTTTACAGTAACAACCTCATGTCGCGATTCGATACATATCACGATACTGAACTCACAATATGATATTATTGCGATACTGTAAAAAATAAAACCGTAATTTTTACAGTAAAAAAAAACGTTACCATCAAAAATACAGTAGCAATGTTATTGGTTTTACAGACTTAACTTAAAATTTACAGTAATAAACCGTATTTCTTTATCTGAATTTACCAACTTACTGAAGAATTTATATCGGGTTTGAACCATTGTAATACACTGACAACCAACAATCAACAATCAACACAGCAGTGATGAGTCACATGATCAATCAAAACTCATCACAAGAAGTCTTCTAGAAGAAGATTAAGACTTATATAAAGAAGCTGCACAGTGTCATTCACACAAACATTAATCACCATAACACGCATGAAATTGAAAAAATGCAATAAACATTATTTAACAAAATTAAATGTAACAAAAAACCCTAATGTAGCCTACATAACTGATTAGACAAAAAACCCAAGAAAACTATGAGAAAACAGTTATTTCAACAAAAATACATAAATGTGAAGCGTCACACAGGAAATTTTGGGAATGTATATTTGCGTTTTTTCACTGTAAATTATACAATGTGTTGTTCGTTTTCACTTTCCAAAACTGTAAATTTAACGGTATTTTACAGTAAAATTACATTAAATGTACCATGAGAGTTATTTACCGTATATAGTAATTAATTAACAATAACAGTAACAGTAACAGTATTAGTAATCCAATTAATAGTTTTGCACTGTAGCATTTTTATGGTCTTTTACCGTTAATCGGTAATCGTTTTTTACAGCTGAAAATGCTAAATTTGTTATTACATTGTGTGTGTAATTGAAATAATGACAGCAGAATAAAAATGTTCATGATTCAATTGCGAGTTTACATTTTATTTCTCAGCAATTCTGAGAAATAAAGTCAGAATTGCGAGATGTAAAATCAGAACTGTGAGATAAAAAGTCGCAATTGCGTGATATAAAGTCAGAATTGCGAGATAAAAAGTCAGAATTGCAAGATAAAAAGTCGCAATTGCGTGTTATAAAGTCAGAATTGCATGTTATAAAGTCACAATTGCGTGTTATAAAGTCAGAAATGTACAATATAAAGTCAAAATTGCGATTTCTCACTATTCTGAGAAAAGATGTCAGAATTTCGAGATCGCAATTGTGAGATAAAGTCAGAATTGCGAGATAAAAAGTCGCAATTGCGTGTTATAAAGTCAGAATTGCATGTTATAAAGTCACAATTGCGTGTTATAAAGTCAGAAATGTAAAATATAAAGTCAAAACTGCGATTTCTCACTATTCTGAGAAAAGATGTCAGAATTTCGAGATCGCAATTGTGAGAAAAAAGTCTCAATTCGGTCTTTTTTTTTCTCACTATTGTGACTATCTTTCAATTGACACTTTATTTCTCAGAATTGGGACTTTATATCTCACAATTGCGACTTTATTTCTTACAATTCTGACTTCATATCTCTCAATTGTGAGATAAAAGTTGCAATTATTTTTCAAGTTTTTTTTATTGAGTGGTAGGAACAAGTTTCCATAATTTCCTCTCACTGTGAATGATATATCTGAGAACAGCCCAGATGTTTTCAGGCAGGTTTAAGTGAGGGGTTTCTGATTGGCTGTACATGCTTGTAAACATGTGGTTTATTGTCCTGCGTGAAGATGAGATCGCCTGAATGCTGAGCTTCCTCTGAAGCCTCCCGGCGTGTGTGTTGTGGTTCTTCTAGTTGATGGTGACACTAGAATCTCAAGAGTCTTTGGTGCCTTTGTGGTTAATTCATTTTGCAGTTAATTTGCACCTTTTCATTTCAGCACGTTTCTGAAACCCTATCGGCTGTTATTAACAGGATTAGTATCGTCTTATGCCAAGTTGGATTTTTGGGTTACACTTTTCTTTTTAAAGAATTCACTGATGACGGTTTATTTCAGTAACTTGTGATTTACTCTTTGAAGGTTTGAGATGAGAATGAAGTGTGCCTGTGTTTGAGTGAGAAAGATTAATTGCAGATATTAAAATAGACGTGGCTTAATTTCCTTTAATACTTCCACGAAACACACCCATATGGTAATATTTAATAAGACGAAAAACTGGCAGACTGTTCAGAGGATGAGGCAGTTATACAAGCGGCGGTTTTATTAATTCATGCTGATTTGTAAGGTATGAGTGCCATAAATGCATTGCAAAAATATTATATTTGTCAGTAAAAATAATAGGGCTGTCAAACGATTAATCGCATCCAAAATAAAAGTTTGTGTTTACATAATATATGTGGGGTGCATTGTGTATAATTATTTTATATATAAATACACACACATGCTTGTATATATTTAAGAAATATTTTCATGTATATACTATATATACATTTTTTATATAATTTATATTAAATATAAATATAAATATTTTATATATATAACAAATTTTTTTTTCTTAAATATACATGCATTTGTGTGTGTATATATATATATATATATATATAAAATAATTATACACAGTGAACCCACTTATATTATGTAAACAAACTTTTATTTTGGATGTGATTAATCGTTTGACAGCCCTTAAAATATCTAAATATAATAAAAAGAAAACAAGATGAATTTAAAAGGTTGATGCTATAAAAATCAGAGCAATGTTTTGATAGTGTCACACACTTTAACCTACCAATGGATGCCTTGTATTTTAACAATTACACGCTTCACCTTTTAATGAGGAGTAAATATTTTTAGCAGGTGCAGTAATTGTTCCTTATTTGTTTTATTCCAGATTCTGCAGTGATGATGTCACAGTGACGTCACTGAGTTGAAATAGAGGCCATCATTAACAGTAAGTGAAACCTCACACACGCCTGTTCCCACCAAGAATGAGTATAACTATAAGCTTAATGAGCTTAATGAACTATGAGCTTAATTGTAAATGTGAGTTTATTTTTATTTTTAGGTTTTTCTCAAGTGTTGCTGTGCGTAGCCTTTATACTAAGTTGCGCTTTTAAATACTTGGATGCATTTTAAAGCACTTCTTATATTTAAAAATAATCGTTTTGTGGTTGCTTTGGAGGGATTGTGTTTGGGTGTTTCTCCGTGGATCTAAACGATGGCTTGGAGTGTCAATATGAGATGGCAGTGTGGATTTAAAGAAGAGAACATCCCCGTGTGATTGTGCAATCCTGTAGGTTTTGCAAGAACCCCAAAATACAATCAGCTGGTCATTATGGCAAAATAAACCCTGTTGTGAAGCTGATGTTTCGTGTGCATGTCTTTGCGAGTGACAGATTGCTCTGAAGCGATCACAGGAGACGGCTCATTAGGTCAGGAATATGTTGAGCTGTAATGACAAACTCATCACATCACCAGCACACACCGAGACCAGAACGCATCTCTAAGGTCAAAGCCAGCGGGTGGCCACACACACACACACACACTGCTTCAGCTTAGTAGGTCACTGCCCCGCATTGGCTGTCTGAAATTGAAGGCCTCACTGCCCACTTAGTCAGTGACTTAACAGAAAGCACTTCCTGAGGAGATTGAAATATTCATTTGAAGTAACTCTGAGATTTGAAGTTAATATTTCAATAAATGAACACATTTGCATGATTTTAGTAAGCAGTCACAAATCATGCAGGTAAACAAATACTAATGCTGCGTCCGAAAAAGCATACTGTATAGTAGGCACTACATTTGGTTTTGAAACTTCACGAGCATTAAACGAAGGGCATTCTATATAGCCTTGTGTAGCCCCACACCCCTTATGTATTATGTAGCCCCGCCCCTTTTCAGCACTGCATTCCTTGCGTTTCGGTCTTCTGGTTTGTATTTCCACAGCATGATGGTAAGATCTTACAGATTTATGAATGAACCTCTTTTTTTTTATCTTAATTTTATAATTTCTTTTTTATTGATTTTAACATTTTATTAACATAAAAGAGAAAAATAATAACAATAATAAATAAATTAAAAAACAATAAAGATAAGCTTTATTTTTATATCCATTTTAGTTTTAGTCATTTTGAACTTCTTTCAGAATTAGTTGCCAAGGCAAGTTTTTCATCTAATATTTATATTTATTTCAGCTTTATTTAAATTACATAAAACAAAAAAAATTAATAGATAACAATAGCAACCCTATAAATGAAAGGGACTGATTTGTTTTCCGCATGATTGTATCCGTCTTTGTTTGCACTGGATGTGTTCAGGGTGGCGGATGAACAGACTGATGTTTTTCTCTGAGATGGCTCTGTGGCCTGAGGTCACAGCATAACGTTATGAGGTCCATCTTTGGAGAAATCAATCCCGGCACTAATCAGTGTGTTTTTGTGGTGCTGAAATAAAGGTGGTGAAGTGGCAATGTATTAGAGCTGAGCATGTGGTAGTTGTGGGGCTCAGCTGGGATAAACCAACAGCGGGTCAGGTGAGGTCGGGCTCCTTAAGTAACATGGCAAACACACAGATAGGGATGATCTGTCCTCCAAACCTGTCCATCTGAAGCCCCTTGGAGTGAAGGGTTCACACGCAGGGTCACGGCCTCCTCTGGTCCGTTCGTCCTCTAACGTCTTGTTTGGGTTTGAGTTTGGAAAGATGTATTGTTTCATAGTGCAGTGAACTCTTATCTGAAAAGATCGTAAGTGTTCATTTTAATAGTGTCTGTGACGTAAACTTCAGAATCAGAAACGGTATTACAATTGGAAATTTTGATTTACAAATCTGTGCAAACTCTGATTCAGTTATTTGTTTGTCTCACAGAAATCTCAGATTCTCTGTTTTTACATTAAAATGTTGTAGAAATATTCTATATTATACTGTTGCATACCTGAAAATGATTTTTCAAACTTGATATTGAATTGAAGGTGTTTTGTTTCCTTTTTTACGATCAGAGGAACCCTAATGTTAATTAAATGTTTAACATAAAATTATGTTTAAAATGTAGTTAAAATTTAAAAGCAAAAACAATAAAAAAGATCTATCTAAAAAAATGTAGTTAAAATAATCACGGAATGTTTTCCACACATTTTGTTACTTAATTTTGTTACTTAAATATTGAAATTAAAAAATTTCGATTAATATATATATATATATATGAAGAGTTCAGATGAAAAAGCCTCTAAATGCCATTTGAAATTTTCTTCTTTAATGATGATTTTCATCAAACTTGCATATTTAAGTTCAGTAATTTCACTTAAATAACAATTAATAGGTAATTATCATTGTCATTTAAGTGAAATCACTGAACTGAAATATACAAGCTTGATAAAAAATCATTATTAAAGAAGAAAATTTGAAATGGCATTTAGTGGCTTTTGCATCTGAACTCTTCATATATATATATATAAATGTATAGCTCCTCTAATTAGGAAAGAAATTTGAGCCATTTTAGAGCCAATTAAGAAATATTAACAAATAAAATTTACCCAAAAATAAAATAAAAAGTGTTTGTGTGTATATATAAATATATTTATTTATTTATTTTATTATTATATATGTTTTTGTTTGTATATAGTACATTATATTGGTATACTCTAATAGAAAAAGCTCTATTAGAACCGTAAAGGGTTTTCATAATGGAATCATTTAATGAATTTAGTTAATTTTTTTATTTATTTAATTAAATAAACAGCTCGTATGCATACTTCATCACTTGGAAAATATTAAAATACCCCTGTTAAACATGAAAGTTTTATGCAATCATTTAAGACATTCCTCTTTATGTAGGACATAAAAAATTTGGTCCAGAACCTAGAGCCTTTTATACTGTAAATCCCCATTGACTCTTTTTTGTAGTGTGTTTCACAGTGCAATGAACTCTTCTCTGAAGAGATGATGGGAAATCTGCAGGAACTGATTTAAGCAGCGTTGAGTAAAATGCATTGAAATGGCTTCAACCTCTTGTTTTCTTTCCTCTGTAAAATTGACTCTGGAATCTGCCGTAAAATTCTCCTGCTTTAGGGATGCGTTTCTAAAATGGCTCCAGTATCATCCTCTCTCCTCTTCGGAGCTGCATAAACGGCACTTAGTTGGATGAGTGTTGGCCTGCAGTGCTGAGGAGAATATCCCTGCCGTCAGCGCTTCCCAACACTCGTAGAGGTGACGCCAAGGTGAAGGCAGACTTGCAGAATGCTTGGAAATCATTGATATTCTGACTCGCGGGCTGCAAATGGCTTGGTGGCAGATGGAGTCTTTGTCAGGGAAGAAAAATGGCAGCGAGGGAGTACCGGCGCTGTTTCTCCCCCCGTCTGCGGGCGAGAGAGAGTAGGGATGACCTTCGTCACTCAGGGGGATCCAGAACCACTACTTTCAGCAATTAGCAGTCTCTTTGTTTACATGGGAAGTGGAAAATGATCAAAATATGATTTTTTTTTTTTTTTTTTTAAGTAGAGGCAGTGATCGTGAACACAGAGAAGGTGGTCATGTCTCCGAGTACAGAACGTTTTTTTGATTGATTGAATTTAGCCAGTAATGAAAGTAGATTTAATACACTGTAAAAAAAAAATATTGTTGGTTTAAAAATTAAGTAACCTGGTTGCCTTAATTTTAAGTTCATTGAAATGGGAAATTGTACTTTTAATTGTAGTTTTAATTGTAGTTATCTGAACTACATAAATTATTTAAGTTGATTTGACAAAAGAAAAAATGTTGTGATTACAAATCATGAAAATATTTTTTTCCAGTGTATAAGTACTGTAAATGTTTAATGCAGGTTTGGTTTTGAAATTAACGTTTCCACCGGCCATTCAGAACTTCTACTAGCCAGAAGAAGAAAAAAAGAGAGAGAAAAGATTAAAAAAAATAAACTAATACCTCACAGCTTTAAATATATATATATATATATATATATATATATATATATATATATATGACACTGTGACTACACTGTAGAAAAATATTTTCATGATTTGTAATCACAACTTTTTTTCTTTTGTCAAATCAACTTAAATAGTTTATGTAGTTCAGATAACATAATATTTCAACCCGATCTCTTACCCCGCCCCTAAACCTAACCATCACGTGGGTTTAGACAAATCGTACGTATTAGTACGAGTGAGGTCATACGAATTAGTACGAATTAGCCACTTTTTAATCATGCGTCGAATTCGTACGAATTGGTCGTGAGATAGTGTTGAATATTTTGAGTTTCTGGTGATAAAATTAATCTCCTTCATTGTATTAACTCAATTTTTCCATTTCAATGAACTTAAAATTTTAAGGCAACCAGGTTACTTACTTTTTTTAAGTTAAACCAACAATATTTTTAATAGTGGTAATTGTTTTTAGATGTTTGTACTGTATATAGGCCTATAAAATTTGGATTTCATACATTAATTTTTTATTTAAAGAAAATCCTGTCATCCAGCAGGATTTTTGTAAATCAAATGCTTTTTAATCTTCTCAATCACTATTACTTCAATGCAAATTTGTTGTGTAATGATTTTCTTTTTCATATGAAAATGTTTTAGTGAAAATAGTTATGAATTATATCTGATTATTCTTATATAATGATTCTTGAGCTTGATTTTTTTTTTAATGTAAAAAATATTTATTTGCTTAAAATAATTTAGGCTTGTTTTGAACTTTAATATTAATTTTAATTTGAATTAAATAAATTACAGTTCTTCTAATTTGAGAGAAAAAAAATTGAGGCGTTTCAGAGGAAATTCACAAAATATGAAGATTTATAATATCATCAAAAACAGTTATTAAAATAGTAAAATAGTTATTTTTCCTCCCTTTTCCCAATTTATTAAACAAGAATAAAGCAATGTAATATTGCTTTTTATGCATTAAATGTGACAGAATTACTTTATGGACAAGGTTACTCTCATTAAAGCCGTGTTA